GGTACCAAAAATAAAAAAGTAAATAAATAACCTATTAAAATTCCTCAGAACTAGTATTCCAAGGAACTCAGTTCTGGAAATATCATAGTTCATCCATTTTGTGCATACATTTTCTTCACTTTTTAACTCCTCTGAAATTAGGATGTTGTCTTACATTTGATAATGTCTTGGGTTTAATGAAATATGGCGCTGCCCTATCAGCTTTGATGACAACTATGTGTGCTGTATTAGTTGTAATTTGGCTCAGCTGAGAGTGACAAAACCAAAAATGAGAATGATATAGATAAGACAAATTTATGGCTGAATAGCAAATCTGGATGGTCCTGTGTGGGAACTGTGCTCTGTGGTGTTGTGTATTCACCCTTCTTTATGTCCGAGATGATGCAATGGGTCAAGAAGACGGCTCCATGTGGATCTATTATACCCACTCTCTTGCACCCAGGAAAAAACAGATCAAGAAAGAAAAGTTTATGCCAAGTGCCAATTGTATTAAATTTTCAGAAGCTTCCCAATGACACTTTTGCTTACAATACAGAAGTTTGACAGTGGCACTAGAAATCCAGGAAATCTGAGATATGCAGTCACCTTTCTAAGCCTGCATGAGTGGAGATAAAAATTCTGTTCCTATGATGAAAGGGGAACACTGGAGAAGAACCAACAGCTGCCATTCTGCAGTCAGTTAGTGCTGATATTGACAAGGTCACTAAAATTTACTCTGCAGCTAGAAACCAGAGAAATAGCAAAGGATAAGTCCTTAAATATTAAGGCATGAAGGCAGCTATTGTTGAAAATCAGAAATTAATTTAATCACTAGCAAACAGAAAATTAGCCCTTTCCTCCCTGATATCAAATAATTTGGAAACAGTTTATTAATAGTCATGGCCTCTGACCTCAGACTGTAAAGATCAGAACACACTTCTTTCCTTTGTTGCTTTGTTTAATACACAAGTTTCTTTAATTATTCCAATTAAAGTGGAGAAATTGCAACTGGGGATAAAGGAGCAACACATATAGTGGATATTGTCTCTGTGGAGACTCCAGTAAGAATATACAGTATTTACACAGAGGTTCTCAGAAAATTAATCAGTTTGTCTCAACCTGTTCTGTGATCACATTCCCATCAAAATGTTTTCAAACTAATAATAATAAAGGATTTTAAATGGCCACATGGAAGAGTGTAAATGTTGCTTAAATATAAATTTATTTCTTGTCTATCTTGTTGAAGACACTAATTTTGGAATTCCTGTTAATCTTAGCTGGTCTTCTTGATTCTTTTGCTTTATTAGTTCTTCTTTTGGCAAGAAAATTAAACTTAAAATTTTAAAAATATATCATTCAGTGAAGTCAGACTTCTATTACTAATTCTTAAAAGCTATTTGTGATACTTACCTTTACTTGTAAGCTCTAAATAGCATTTTTACTTTACAGAGTAATATAATAATTATGGAATATAAAAATTTTTATGCATTTTTATATTAGATTTTTGATATAAA